CTTTGTTTTCTTCAACTCCCAGAGCAGCAGCTCTGCCTGTATTTGAGACTAAAATAAGCCCCTTTAATGTCTTAATAATAATGTCTTGTTTCCCCTCTTGCAAAGTTTAAAAGAACCATATAAAACTTATCCATTATATAATTTGGTTAAGAAATTTAGGAAGAAAAGTCAAAATTACTTGAAGCAATAAGGGCAGAATCTATTACATGGTACAGACCGTAGGCTTGATCTCATTTATAGCTACAGAGATGCAGCAAAACTAGCCCATCTTTGTAGGTCTTGAGTGCTGGTTCCAGTTTGGGTTGAGCAATCACAAAAATCTTCTGAGAAGACTCCTCTCTCTTAACCTGAGCCTGGCAGAAGACTCCTCTCCTTTAACCTAAGCCTGAGAGAAACTGATATTTTTCTAGGCTTTGTGACATCCAGGAATACAACATTTGTTCATGGCACATTCACAAAAAATGCGTAGTAAATGGAATATATGCATACACAGCATGTGTGCAATAATTTAGAGTGCTCTAAATGCATATGCACATAATTCTGCCAGGAAAATCCTGGTTAAAAACATTGGAGCCCTATACCTGCAGCAAATTGTTAGGCCCTTCAGCTTTTACTGGTAATTAAAGTTTGCCAAGGCACAGGCAAGCATACGGGCTTGGAGAGGGAAGGACACAGTTATGTTAACTGTCTTACTCAAGCAGTATGGTCTGGACCACTGTATTCAGTGATGGCTTGCACATATTCCAGGGAGCCTGCAGCCAGGTTGTTAACACTGCTTGACTCTCAAAAGCTAAAGGTTTGTTTTAGCTAGGAATACCATGGTCCAGCTAGACCTAAATGTCACTTTGAAAACAGCCCATAGATTATCAGCCTAGAAGAACAGATCAGCTGCACTGCTCAGCAGATGGTTTAGCACTTGCAAATAGCATCCTTATTAATCAAAAGCAATAGATATAATATTGGGATATGCACAGATATCAAGAACTACAGTAAAAAAAAAATCTATATTTTTTCTATTCAGATATCCTTGTCCAAAGTTTGATTTTTATTATAAAATGAACGCAGTAGAATAAATGAAGAAAAGACTACCAAAGCCCTGTAAATAGCATGCTGATTGGGACAATGTTATCAGCATGTACTATTTCCTTAATGCCATGCATGAAATGAGCTGCTGATATGCCTGACTACAGAAAGTCAGGGAGAATTTCAGGTCAGATAAATCATCAGTGACTACAAGGAAACGTGAATGAAACCCCATGGCCTCTTCTAGAGCATTCAGATTCCATGGTCTAATGGCTCCTTTTGTTCTTTAAATCTATTAATATAGATAAAGTGACTTACAATTATTGCTTATTTTCATAATGGTCATAACATTTTTAAGGTTTTTTTCAGTGAACTCAGTAGTGTATATGCATATATGATGATGGCCATTTCACAGCAGTCAGACGTCTATCTTCCCCACCACTGCCCTGGAAAAGTCTCTCTAAAATCCCCATCTTTGTGGAATATCTATGAGTCTTTTCTGTTAACATAGCAGAAACAGGCTAAGGTGTCTCAAAGGGAGATGGATAAAATGAAGACACTTTTGGCATATTCTATTGCTTGGGGGAAGAGGGAGATCACGTACTTTTTTATTTATTTTTTACACACAGGCAACATGGCAGAGATGGGGGCTGAGGAAGGCTCAGAAAAGCTTGCTTGACTAACAGTTGCTTAAGAAAGCAAAAAGGTGAGACACAGCAATATAGTTGACCAAGGCCAGCACCTCTGGCAATGGATATAGTAGATATTTTTTCTATTCTGTCTCATTATTAACAAACATGTCCTTTGTTCAAAAATTTGAGATGGTATCAGTGCTCCTTTTATCTTCTTTGCCATTTTATCAGTGTTTTCTGTACAAAGCAGATTTAAGAACTCTTGCTTTTGAGACCTGTTGCAGGACACTGCTGCAAATACTGTAGCTTTCTTCAAGTTAAGTCCCTCCTATTATTCCAGTTCTCTATCATTTATGTGGTTTTGGAACTATTCATTACAGTAAACCACAAATATGACAGAAACTCCCATACGTATGTTTAGCTCTGTTCCAGAGAAGAATTAAAGACATATATATATTTTTTCCAGCCTTTCATGTTTAGGATGAGACTTTTTCCTCTTCTGAGAATATTGCAAGAATATATAAGCCTCCTAAGCTTCATCACTGACACTGCAAAAGATAGGAAGGATGCTGGGAGCCAAGAATCATTGTTCTTTCAAAGCTGAGTCACTGACCTTCTCTTCAAAGAGAATCTCCTGTCTATATATGAGGAAATACACTATCTGTGATGGAGGAGCTGCCAACAGAGTTATCATAGCCAAAAAACATGCATGACAGTTCATAAATATGAATTTAATTCCTCGCATTTTGTATTTTAAACACAAACGTTGTTACTCAAAGCCTTGATCTAGTTTGAAACACAGCTTTCCGAGCTGCAATGACTGATGGCACCTCTGTTAAAAGGAGAGAGAAGGGGGTAACTGCTAGGGTGACAACCATGGGAATGCTGCTCAGAGCAAGGGATGAGGTGAGAATCCCATTAACCCTCACAGTAAAGCTGAACCCAGGCTAGACGGACTTAATGAGGGAAGGTAAAGTATTCTCTTAGTATTTTGAAGTACTGTCACCATGCCTCAGTGTAACTCCTTCATACAAACACGCACTAGTTTGCTCTGCTTAAATCCTGACCCCTTGGGTGTCTCTGTCTGTAAGTCCATTTTCGCCTCAGCTGGTTTCAAGCCATCTCCTTCATCAAATTCTGGTATACTCATCCAGCACAAAAGCTCAGCCCTGTTAGCTGTGTACCAAAATTGGCACCAGCTTCTCTCCCCACCTAAGACAGCCATAGCTCTTTCTGTGAGCTCTCTAGCTTCACAGGTCACCTTTTCTGGGACTTTTAGTTTCTGGAGCAGGTAGACACGTAAAGTAGAATTTGATTTGTGCTAGGGCTCCCACATCATGGGCAAAGACGACATAGCTAACAGAGTTAGAGATATTTAGATGACACAAACACCAAAATTTAGACATCTTAATTCTATTGATAGAATTCAAATCAAGGTTAAGGGTTTGAAGGATATTTCTGAAGCACAGTAATTCCCAGTAGTATTTTTCAATGGTGAAGTTTGCACTTCACACCAACTTGAGCTCTTTTTTCCTTCATTGTAGTGAATTCTGGTCAATTACAGACACTAAATTGCTAGCTGAAAAAAAAGTTAAAAGGGTAAATACACCAGTGAACTGACCTGAAAAGGAGGAATTTTTTTCCATAATCAACTACTTTGACAAGAATATACCTCCAAAGCTGGTATCCGCCTACATCCCATTTGCAATTTTAAATATTTGCAATGCAGTTCAGTTTTGGTACAGTAGCACTGGTAATTATTTTGATTAAGTATGATGAGATTTTTTTTGCTTTAGTACTTCATTTCACATCAAAAGTACTTTTTTGTATACTCTATTTTCAATAAGAATGTCATCAGCTCCCTCACATGTACTTCGTATTTTATAGTAAACTATGTTAAGTAGCTAATATTCTCCACTAATCGATGACTTCAGATGGAGGGGCACTATGCTACTCTGCAAGAAATGACTGGGCTAGTTTCCACAGAGCAGCATGGGTGGGTGAGTCACAGTAAACTTAACCATCCTTAAGGAGGTGCTATTGTTCATGTGCTTTCTTTCCCTGTGTAATCAGGCAGGATAATTTGTCCAACAAAATACTGCAATTACTGCCGATTTATTTTATCCTTCCTTCTTTGGTTTTCAAATTAAAAATCTCAAGTTTTAAGAATAAAAATTAAGTCAAATTACAGCTGAGCTAAGGACCAGATCCATTTTACCTCAGAAAAAATGAGAATGAATTCCAGTCAAGTCACTGAGGCATTCACTAATGTTTAGTGTGGAAAAAGGTCAGAAACGAGTTCTCCAGTTCAATCTCATTTTTTGCTAATCTTTAGGCATCACAGATCTAACTCACTCAAATAGTTTCGTATCCCTTTCTCCACTTACACACAACAATAACAAGCAAAGGAATTCTTCAGTTAATATCCTAAAGGGTCCTGAAAAAATATTTCAGTCCACTGAAAAAAAGTTCCAGTTCAAATTGTGAAGTATTTTAAAATCTTTCTTCACCTTCCCCTGCATTGTGTTGAATGGCAAGAAGAGACACTTTAAATGATTTAAAACAGAAACAAAACCACAAACAAAAAACTCAAATGCCTTAACAGAGGTATCTGAAATCAGAAATAGTGCAAGAGAAAGCTGGAGTGACAAACTGTAGGCACACAACTCTCTGCACCTGCTAGAGAATAGAAAGGACAGGTATACATCAGCTACACATTTGTTATTAACTCATTAGGCCAGGCTGTTGGATTTAAAGGGGTGGCTGAAGCTGAAAGCCTTGCTAATTTGACCTGTGTCTGGAATTTGATGACTGATTCTTAGTTGCTATTCATTGTTGTAACTGGTTTTAAATCAAAGCTGCATGGCTTGCTTAGAGTTATCAGAAATTTCTGATTATCTCAGAGTTGATTCTAACATACTTCTATCACAGAATAGATCACATATTAGAACACACAATATTGGATTATATTTTTAAAATATATTATCTTTAAAAAAAAAAAAAGAGAGAGTTAACTCCTCTAGTTTGTGATTCAGGCTGGCTCCACATTCAATAGGGCACTGTACGCTGCTTACCTGGGTTTACTTTCATCTGGACTTCCAGCTTAGTTATCTTTGGTTGAAAGACCAGTTAAAAAGTTTCTGGTTTTGATGAACATTGATCTTCTCAACAAGAGTTTTGAGAGGAAGCATCTGCTTGCCTTGACATTTTCATCCTGTTATCTAGAAGTCAACACTTTCCGCATAAGTACCACTACACCCATTTTTCCTGTTAGCTGTGGTCTTTGCATTACATTGTAATGCTATGACATGTGTGAACATTATCAGCAGTACAGCAAACGTGCTATGTACTCATAGCAATTCAGAGACATGTCAACAAAAAGGATTCTAGGATAATGAACTGAATGTGCTTTAAAGCTTTTTTATTTTTGAGCAACCATGAATAGATTTGGGAGTAGCATAGTTATCAGACAGCACAGAAGAAGCAGCTGCTAGATATTCCTGTCTGGGGTGGCTGGGGCAGTAAGTTGTTAATTAATGGCATCTAGAGACACCTTTAGGAACCACAATTGAAATCAAATTCTTTTTCAGGGAGCAGTGAGAGCAAGGGGATGAAGAGCTGGGAGCCAACGTGACTCCAGTGCAGGCTAAGCCCTCACCATGGGGATACAGTCCTGCAGGGGCTGAGCATAACAAGCAGAGATGGTGCTGCTAACAGGGTCCATTGATGGCCCTGGACATGATAAATGATGAACCATGCCCAAGGACCACTGAGGGGCTCCAATGGTCCCAGATACAGCAAGTGATGAACCGGGTCCAGGGACCATCCAGGGGCTCCAGTAAGGAACAGAGGGCATTGGGGCTAGCGATAGGGCTGGAGGCAACAGCCATGGGTCCACCTAGGAGGCAAGGCTGGAAACAGGACTGTAGACACTGTACAACAGCCAGGAGACAAGCTACTTACAGCATGGGTCCAAGGTTCATGTACAAGGCAAGGCTAGAGACCAGCACTCCTACAGCAGAGCTCAGGAAGGACTAAAGGCCCCAGGCTGAGCTGAAATGCAGCCTGGGGCCCATTAGCAGGGATGTGAATGGAAGCCCCAGGTGAGGCTGGTCAGAACCATTAAGGCCTATTGGTGCCCTCAGGGCCCTGATGATTTTGTGGCTTCCATGAGCCTTTGCCTGTCTGCCAATGCTGCTTTGGATTCTTGTGAACCTTGTCCACTCCTTGAAATATGACAGACAAAAAGCAGAAATGAAGATTCTGAAGCAGTTGCACTCTTTGAGGTGACATATGCTGTCTTTTCACTTCTCACCATGACACAGGTGAAGAACACTCTTCTTTGCAGACCTACTTAAAGAAAAATCAGAATCAGATCCTTTACGTTTTGTTTGAGTCTCTACATAGAAAGTTTGATCAAAGACACTGAACATCTTTTAAACGTTTCTGTTGATAGCTAAAACAATTTTGGAGGTAGCATGCAAAGGAAGAGAGACCTTTAACCTGAAATTAATATCACAGAGACCTGTTAGATTCTACAGAAGTAATCTGTCTTACAGCCATGCAATGATAGTAAAACTGAGTGGACAGGTGGGACATTTGTCCAGATTTGCTCCTACTTATCCTATTCTCTAAAGTCTTTATCACAGCTAGAATAAGCATTAGGCAGAGACAGTCGTGGCAGGTTTGCTGTAGCATAACATTTACCAATGAATAAATAAACCAGGATAGCCCTTAACTGCTATTTATTCAAAAATAAGCATCAGTGAGTAATTTACAAGTACCATATTTGCCAAAACAAACTATGCACAAGACAAGAAAGCTGCAAAATTGTTCCAGTAGTAAATTACCTTTTATTTTACAAAAAAATAGCTGCCTTAAAAAATAAATCAAATTACCATTCCCTCTCTTCAATCTTTTTTTTTTTTTTTTAACTTTTATTATGGGGAATGAAAAAAATTATGTAGCAATACAGACATATTTCTTCTTTACCATTCAGCCCAAGCTATAGCAATTGTATCAACGAATACTGAAGCCAGTCACAGGTAATAAGTTCAATGTATTATACATATTGCTATGAAAACTTGCAAATTGCTGCTAGGCTTTCGAGGGCCTAGATGGCAGTATAGTTCTTAGTGTAATTAGTCAATTTGATCTTCTCTGGGAAGATAATATTAACTGAGAGATTTTCCCCATTGCTAGATTTCAGAAAAAGGTTCTTTTTCTTGCGTAGGAGATGACTATATTTGGCATTAGCAAGCCACATTTCACATTTTGAAAAAAATACAATCCCAGTTGTACCCAAGACAACAAGACATGTAAGTAAGCCCAGGATAATGAAACATATCACCTGACTTTTACTGAGCAAGGGATCTGCATTTTGGATTGTTTCTTTCATTGTTATTTTCAGGACTTGATGTTCTTGTTGCACTGATTTGTGATGAGCTTTTGGGTGTGGATTGTAATTCTGCATATTCTTTGTCTCTGTATTCACTCCAGGAAGACTTGCGTTTTTGCTGGGATGCTTACAGGTTGCACCAACAAATTCTGGCTTACAGATGCATTTGTATCCTCCCTGGGGATGTTCACTGCATGTTCCTCCATTCTCACATGGGCCACTTGCACAGAATATGACACGGCTGCTACAGAGCTTTCCTGTATAGCCACGGGGGCAAAAACAGCTAAAACCCGCACCAATATCTGTACACGTTCCTCCATTTTCACATGGGTTGGATTCACAGTCATCTATATCTATTTCGCAGAAATTGCCAGCAAAACCAGAAGGGCACAGACAGGAAGCATGCGGTGCAAAACCATTGTCATCAACGCACGTTCCTCCATTCTGACAGGGAGAACTAGAACATAGAACAAATACATATACAGAGTTGAATCAAAATCCAATGAAAGAAACACTTATGACACACTGTATAATAAAAAGAGCTGGTTTTCTTTAGAAGAGCCAATTCCTAATGCAAATCCAGTGAAGTCAATGAGGTTCAATCAAGAATGAGTTTGTTCAACAGCTTTGTCAACACAGATTATAATATCTTCTACTGACCCTTCAGGCAGGCTTAATACACCAGTATATAAATCCTACCTAAAGAGCTATTTCAAACATTTATTCAAATTAAGCTTCCCATTGTTTTGATATGCCTAGAGCTACTTAGCTGAATGACTATTTAGACAAGACGGAACAAAGACACTAGCAGCATGGCTTGGTTTTCCACCTCATTATTCATAAAACAATCTGTGTGTTGTATTGGCAAAGCTAAACACTCTGCCATGGCAGCCAGATGCGAAGGTGATTGTTTTTATTCTGCCTCTATAGCACTCTGTGACACACTGAAAATTTAAAAGTGAACAGATACTTTCATGCAAACTGCTGTTTGGCCAAATAAAGTTTGAAAATTAAAATAAATAAATATAAATGGGATGATGTCAGCTGTAATGTGAGTACAGGACCAAAGGAAAATAGGTATTTCTGCAAAACTTTGAAGAACTTAATTGTTAATAGTCTGGCATTCTGATTTAAGTGACATAAATTCACCGAAAACTCTTTTTTTTAACTTCACAGTATAACATTGCTTTACTGGGTATCAGGCCAAAAGACTGTCCCTGTTGGCAAAAAAGGGGCCTTGGGTCACAGGTTTACAGATAAATCTCAAAGCCACTTTCATGGCAGTTTATAATGTAAGAACAATGCTTTTACTGCTTACATTCTAAAAATGAATTTCAGACATGAAAAAGACAGCATAAACCTTGGCGAGGCTTACAGCATGCCTGACAACAATGGTTCTCCTAATAATTATACATCCTTAAATACACAGAGCTTAGTATCAGGACATAGTTGAAAAGATCAAGCTGTTAAGCGTTACCTTTCCAGAGGAAAGTCCCAGGGTACTGAACATCACAGCTTCACAATGATGGCATTTCATATATGCAATGGTCAGTGGCAACTAGCCATTATGGATTTCCATGGTGGGACTTTGAGTGGATTTTAAGAGATTTGTTGATGTCCAAGTGAGGTGACTGTAAAGGAGAATTAAGCTCCTACTACAAACGGTGCCTGGCCACTGGTGGGATAACGGCTGAGCCTCTCACATGCCCAATTATTGCATTGGGAGCAGCTAGGCTAGGGACTATTCCAAGCATCCTCTGGCTCTCCTGGGGACTGAAACACTTGGTGGTCTCTCATCAGAAGTGCCTGAATATTGTGTAAACGAGTAGTTTGCCTGTTTGCTATTAACACATAAAACAATCAGCTCTGTTTTCTCATATAGTCCTTCAGTGCAGCTGTTGGCTGGAAAAAGGCTATTGCAAGAATAAATTGGAAATCTGGAAGCAGTACTGGGAAAGCAAAAGGCGTTGTCACTGGACTGTGACAAAGCAGTGGGAGTCTGGTGACAATTTGAGGTGATCATACAAACAAGGAATTTTGCCATGATCACTAGCCACTGTGTCTGCTTTAATAAAAATAAGGACGCTTTAGTTGTCATATGGTCCTTGAGTAACTGAATAGTTACAGTCAGCCTTAAAGAGTTTAGCACGTTCTCTTGACCTTAGCTGTCCCATGGAAAATTAGACAAGTTTTTTTGTTATAGCAGTGTCCAGAAGATGGAGCCTCATGTCTGGGTTGGACTACCTTATCAACCTTTTGGAGAAGCGGGAAGAAATTGTTGGAGAATTTAAGAGTAAAATGATTCTTTCTCAATGTTTTATACATGTACAAATTTTTAGTAAAAACAATTAAGAGGAAACATGTAGAATTTTGAATATGTGTTCTTTATTTTTCACAAGTACTAAGTCGCATTTGCTTAGTTTTTAATGTGTTTAAATAAATAAGGTATTAGAATTAATCTCCTTTAATATACATGGATTAAATTATTTTAAACATCTGGCATTTAAGGCATGTTCAGCAAGGTGTGGTACAAAAAAGAATAGCTGCATAAACATGGACATAACACTCAGCTGCTTTCCAAATACTTCACTTTCATTTTAACAAGTATACCTCTCGCTGCTCTGCTTCAGAGCAAAGCTTCAAAACACCACACAGATGTCACTAATGCAGATATATCTGCCTGTTTTTGTAAACAGCCTAGAACAATGACTTTCACTGGTGAATTGCCTTCATTCCATCTATGAAAAGTAACTAAGGAGCCAGTGGCAATTCTTAGTAATATCAATTTTAACTGTACCACTGGGGCACAGAGGAGGAAGTGAGATGAGAGTGAGATAGCCTCATATGACGGTTTCTTGCCAGGATGTGAGGTGAACTTTCTGGTAGACTGTCAAGTATTATCAGATTCTGAGTGCTTATGCTGGAAACAGTTGTCTTTTTCACCTAAAAGTAGATTTGCAAAGAATGCTGCTTATTTTCCTGAAAAAGACACATCTTCCCAGAGAAATGGAATTTTTGTTTCAAGAATCATTATAAAAAATTCTTCAAGATTTCCTGATAAGCTCATGAGCATTCAACCTGGACATAGAGTAGTGTCACCAAAATGTAGTTTCAAGAGTAGTGTCACCAAAATGTAGTTTCAGCAATAAAAAACATGATGATTTAAACGAAAAATATGGAACTAATCTGTACCCTTTCTCCCTCCTGTTCTTTGGGATAATTAATATATGTCCATATTGAATTACTGAAATATTTGCTGTACAGATGAAAAGCAGAAGAAGAAAGCTATTCACACTGTCTGTGTTAGGTAAATAGCTTGGATGTCATTCAAGGCACTTGTGAGGAGCCTAAGTTTCTTCAGTGTTAATGAACAGAAATAGGCAAGTCAGAGCAGCTATCCCAGATGCTGAAAGTAAGCCCAAATAGGCCTGTGTGACTATTTCCCGCTAAAAGCAATAGTAAAAAATTTCCACTGGTATAACATTGTAAGAACGGCAATTCTTGCGAGAGACAGCGAGAGGAGTTAATGACAACATGTTTTCTTTAAATAAGAGTGTACAAATATCCAGGGAGATTTAGCCATAAGGAGGATCTAAAGATCTGTAATTATCTATTGCTGAGCTAAAGCAGAACTAGAGGGTACCAGTATGGAGCTGTAGAGACACAAGATAATCTTAGAAGAATAAAAAATGTGTCGGATTAACATAATAGTTTTATCAAGCCTGTACCCACCAGAAAGGCATTTCATATGGTTATGGAATCAGGTTATTGATGAACTGGAAGATAACAGGTACCTCTACATTCCCACAATTAGACTCAATTAAATTTTTTAACATTAAAAAGACATCCTTTTTTCAAACAGTTCTATCAGTGATGCTACTGAAAGCAGCAGAATTTAAATTCACATCAGAAATCAATATTTACCCATTAATAATGCAGGGTCCTTTCCTGAGATGGCAGTTTTTTCCTGTAAATCCCTCGGCACACAAACAAATATATCCTCCATCGCCAGTCTCTATGCATGTTGAATTATTGGTGCAGGGCTTTGCAGAACATGGGTGAATGTCTGTTTAAAAACATACGTATTTTGTTCTATTAACATTGCAACGCAATGCTAAACGGGCAGCAGATGAGTAAAACCAAGACTCAATTAATCAATGAGAAAGAGTCATTAAACAGTAAACAAAACATTAAGTAAAATATGGCTTTAATGGTCCTTCATCCTGCATTTGTGTGTTTTGGCTTATTTCACCCTTTGTTAAAATGGAATACAAATTATTACTATCATTATTATTATTATTATTCCAAGCATTTTTCAGCTTGGTTCTCTCTTCCTAGCTCCCACTTGTAAAATAGGTTTGTTCTAGTCTATAAATAAGTAATCTCATCAATAAAATATTAGAAGAAGAAAAAGCTTCTCAGTAATATAGTCATCCTTTCATATCCTCGGCTTCTCCATGCACAGAATTCTGATAAAGCAATAGACAACCAAGAATTCTTCCCTCTCCCTGCCTGAGAGTCTAACATTATGTGCTCATGTACAGATATTTCAAAATAATAGACATCAGCAAGTTACAAAATCTCTTAAAATGTCATCTTTTGGCTGGTTTGCATCTAACTCTTACATAACTGTACCAGAAGAGAGAGCTGCATACATGTTTTGACCCAAAAGTCACACACCTTATTTTCTTTACAATTTCCCTGCTGCCCCCACTCCCCATCCTGAACAATTACTGAACTTTTAAAATAATTAAAAATATATAAATTAAAAGCGCATACTTGAACCAACTAATGGAGTAGCTGCAGTGATGTACTGACTGCAGGTCATTTGACCTGCCTTGCACACTCATGTGCACACATATACTTTCAAAAGAGACGAAAAGGAATTTAATGGCATTTATATTCTACTTCCCACAGCACAATATGAAACTTAGATGATATCATGGGGGACTGCAAAATTTTAACCATAACAAAACATTTCAACAGCTTTAGCTTTCAAATATAATCTTCCCTGGATAAAAGGCTCTATTTTCCAATACATTAGACTGTTCTCATTGCAACACAACCACTTTGCATGCACTTTGAGTGCAAGCTCCAATATTCAGAACCGAAACACCTTGAACGCTTTTTGGAGTAGTGTTGTTCACCATCTAATTTGGCAGTTAGAGCCTGTTCTCATTGCAACACAACCACTTTGCCTGTACTTAAAGCATTAACTCCAATGTTCAAAGAACCAAAAGAACCTTGAATGCTTTTTGGAGCAAAGTTGTTCACCGCATAAGTTGGTGGACTTTAAAGGCAGCTAAGCAAATATGAGCTCTGATGCATGAGCAAGGAAACTCACTGAAATATAAATAAATAAATACATATACACACAGACACACAGACGTATGCATATATATGCACTGTCTATCATATTAAAAATAATTTCAAGGATGTATAAAAGTTCTTCAGGAATAAATTTAAATTTAAAACACAACTTAAAAATTTATAGGAACAATCTTTATTAAAATATAAAAAAATAAGTAGACAAGTAGCCTACTGTTCTCTATTTTCTCTACTTTGCTTCTCAAAAGCCAAAAATCAAGTAATTTACTTCCTCAAGTGACAACAGTCCGAGAGATGAGACTTCCAAAAAATGACTCTACATTTACATATGATGTAAATAATGCTTATATAATATAAATAAGAAGAGTCACAACCGTGTTACCATTAAATTAACTAATATTTACATGAAATTAAATTCTCAGGCTTCAGTGCACGAGGCAGTCAGTGAGCAGTTTTGTGAGCAAGGTTAATATCCATAGCAGAATTTCTAGACTCCTACTCTTGAATGCCTTGCATGGGCACGTAGTAAGAGGCTACACCTCTACCTGCTTTGGTGGCATTCTCTGATCTTACCAAGTGCCTGTGCCAAAGGAGCCAAGCGACATGCATCACAGCATACACTGAGCTCATACTACATGCTGACTTTTTGGCCAAACTGAGGCTAGGGCTCAATTAGGAGGTCAGGAGCACACAAATACGACCGTACAGGCACAACCAGGGGTAACAAGATGACAGAGATGACTGATCTGATTTAGCATGGTGGCTCTTTTACTCCAAATGGAGTGGCATTTTTCCTGGAAATAAACTGAGGAAACTGGTTTTCCCTTTGTTATGTCCACTGTTTGATGTGGTACTGGTGCCTGTACAGTGATAGTATATCTATCTCAAGAGAGTTGCAGACAGGGAAATCCTGCTCTGCGCTTCCACGTTCCAAATATCCATACACTTGATTTCAAGGATATGGTTTTTGGAAGGTTAATAATGGCACGGCTGGTGCACACCATCGCAAAGAAGTTGATCAGCAGTGTTATCACTAATGCAACCTCATAGATTTCTCTTAAGTGCCAAGTCCATTTATGTGACTGCAATAAGAGCCATAAATGACACCACTGACCCTGGCCTACTTGTTTACAATGAATTAAGCCCAGCCTATAATCTAGATGCCTCTACATTATAGAGAAGATCATTCTGGACAAGAGCTGAGGACCAGGCGGCCCATTGTAAAAATAACAGCTACACAACCGGAGATGTTAGCAAACCACTACATGATCTAAAGCCACTCTAAGCAGGAACTTCCACAGTCCACGCTAAGGAGCTCACTACACTAACTTTCCTAAGAAATGGAAAACGATATAATGCCACTGTTCCAAATCACTTCTTTTTCCTTCTATGTTTAATGAGCAATTAGGTGCTAAGAATACATCCATATTTTAAAAGTATTTCAAATGTTTACAGTAGTGGTCAAGTGAATTTCAGACCCTGTCACATTTTTGCGTTCTGGACTTTGCCAGCCTTGTGAGCTGGCATCATCTCAGTTGGCAACATCAAAACAATGGCTAGCCAGAAATTCCCTGGCAATTATATGCATTTTCTATAGCAGCAAAAAAGGATTAATTTCAAAGTTTTGCCAAAACTGCATTACTCATGATCCTCCTTGAATCTCTACAGGAACAATAGAAGTATAGCTTTTCAGCATGGCTTGTCTCATTATAAGCTTGAAGCTAAAAATTATCTCCAGAAGTTGGAAAGAGCCACTCAATGTCATTTCCAGGTGAAACTATAACAATTGTGGCCTCTTCTTGTCAGATATAAAACTTCAATACTAGAAGACAGAGGCAATAGTCTGGTATTTTATGGCAAGAAACTGACAGGTTTGTATTTCCACATTGAAAGGTCAGTTATACACATATATGCATATGTATGCCAGTGATGCCAAACACAGCAGAAGCCTTCAGATTGTCCTTTTTCCTAACCTGATGAAGTTTCATTTAGTGACACCTGTTAATGAGTGAGTTACAGCAGTCTGTAACAACTTTATAGACCCAAGAGACTGACATTAACTCTTCAGCAGAGGATGATCAGATCAGTGGCCAAGCAGTTAACCCCATTTGAGGTGACAATGCTTTATTGGGTCAGGGTGACAATTTTTAACAATTATCCACTAGCAGGAAAAGAGGACCCTTCTCTTAATCCCTTGTGGCAAGACAACGCATTTAGAGTAGGTAAATCCACTGAGGTTAAAAACTGTCAACATAACATGCCTGTGCAGATGAAGACATTGTTAGTTCTTTTTAACTGAGTATTCTTGGCACCTCTGCTTGGGGATCTAGACTCCAACTGGCAAAGAAAACTCTGAGCTGACTCTGAGCTGAGTGTTTAGAGAAATAATAGTTTCTGGACTTTAACAAAGGATACCCATTTTGTAATTACAAAACTATTTTAATGAATACCTTTTAAAATAATATTTTTCCATAAAGATATGGGCACAATTTGCAAAATACAGTTTTGCAGGCTAAGTAGCAGTTGCAAGAATGGAAAGTTGCAAAGTTCAGAATTGCAAAGGTATTTAAGAGTCTAGAAATTCTGCTAGGCACTTAATATGGCTTTTAAAAGTATGCCCAGCTTGCAAACATAGTACACTTACAGATATCTTTAGATGCTTACATGACACCTGTAAAAATCTGGGCCTTTAGAGTCATTGACAGGTAACATACATGAGCTCCCTAAAGTGGTGTTGTAGAAGGAGGTGGGGGGTGTCATTCTATTTAATTCTAGGAATCTGATTGTACACCTTAACATCTTGAACTATTTGTCTCATGTTTTCTGAGCTGGCTCTAATTAAGCACAGTGACCTATTTCTAAGTTAGGATGAGATACTTCAGACCACAGAGGGACCCATTTCTCCTCAGCAATTGTTACGAGAGTCTGGGTAGCTGTCTCAGGTATAAACACATCTGTCAGAGGTGTCTAGAACTACATAATTAATGCAATTATCTCTGAGAGCTGATAGCCATATCTACACTGCTGCTACTGCAGCTCTTATAAACATACCCGAACTAGCTTTAAACTAAGGAGCTTGGATATGCCTATGTGTGCAAAACCTGATGAGAAGCTGAGTGAGCACTTCAGTACCTTGCACCAAGCTCCACGACACTGCGAAGATGTGTGCTATGGGAAATCTTGAGTCTTCTGGTTGTCTTGAAAATTTAACCCATTCAAACTGTGTTGTCATTAATCACTGCTTTGGGTGTTAACGGGCAGAATGTGCTCCATAAATTTAAACTTTTATAATGACAAAAGCCCTAACGACAAGAAAACAGACTGAGACCCCAGATACCTGTCCTCTTCCAGCTGCACTTATGCTGGCTGAAAAGACACAAGCATCTAAGATGCTAATGTGGTTTCTGCCCCCTTGTATCTGCTGGCTGACCATTCATTTGCCCATGTCTGCCAGAATAAACCAGCTCAGCAGAGGCCAATTCTTCAAATTGCTTATGCTAAGCTGGCTCATTTTGACTAGAAAGAGGTCAGGCAGCGCACACAAGAGCTCTGCTTACCCCTCAGATCCGAGAGGGAAGTGGTTGCCTGTTCAAACAGACCTTCTCAGTTATGCTAATGCTACTCGACTGAATCATCATGACGTTAAGTAAATGAAGAAATGAGCACGGTATTTTCCTTTGCAAGAAGAAATTTCCTTAAGTATTACGCTCATATCTGTCCATACAGAAAACAGTATATATTACATATTAAATCAATTCAATTATTTGTCTGACATGTTAAAGAAGATGTAGTTTTGGAAAAGAAGACCTACATATGACAAGAAGTTAGCAAGTAATTTGCTAGCTTTCTCTACAATGATCAGTGTTTAAAATAGAACGAGTTTACACCTTGCTCACACACATGCCCAGTGCCAAAAGATACTACATGCTTTTACCTAAATTGTAAAAGCTCCAGGCTTCTGTGCCACTGTCCCGAATCACCTTATGTTTTTTAAAAAATTACTTAGGTAAAAGGACTTTTGCGTGTTTCCAGCACCAGAGGGAGCTGTTTCATCTCACTTGCTCAAAGATAGGAAAACCTGTGCAAACCTATGTCACAGAGGCTGCCAACCCAGCCCTCCTCGCACACACACTGCCAGGGTTTGGCACAGCTGCCGTGCAAACAGCCAGGGAAAGGCACGCACTGATTACAAAGAGCGCCCTGCCAGCCAGGTTGACACCTGAAAGAGATAAAAGATAGAAGCACAGTTTACTTTCCATAAGCCTAATTACAGGGATGATCCCCTTTTCGAGGCACAATAAATAAACTTTCGGATACAAAATTGGACAACGTTGTGCATTTGAACAAAAAGATACCATCAATGCTTCTAGGATACTAGAAATTAGTACTAGATAGAGGTTAAAGAAAATTGCTTCATTCAGTGAGAATAAATAAATAAATACTAGCCAACGTAAAGACTCTTCTTACCAGAATATGTAGACTATTTCAAAATTAAGACTTTAATTCCACAAGGTATTTAGACCTCTACGCTGTATGACTCAAGTTAACCGGATGTTAACTAGAGTGCTGTTTTGTTACAGTACCATACCTGCAGAGGGCAAATTGTTTCAGCTTCTGCCTATTTTACAAAGACAATGAATTATTAAAGCAGGCTGTTCCTGGGCTAATAGCCTTATCTGATAGATCTTTTTACCTGCATTCACTGGGAAATTCACAAAATCCATTCACTGGGTGGCAGCCAGTTTTACAACTCACTCCTGGAAGAAGAAATTTATAATATCATAGTAGAAAAATCAGCACTCAGAGAAATCATATGATGCCCTATGCACATTAGTGATGTTTTAAAAGCTACTAGACTGTGTAGTATTCTGATTTTTTTCCAAGCACATGTTTTTATAACGTATAATTTCAAATGAACTTAAATTGGAGCATGTTACCCAGTGTCGCTATAGGACAAGTGAGATGACATAAAGAATTAACTGCAAAATAGTACAAGATACATCACTTTAACTACAAAATTATACAAAGTACATCACTTTAGCATATGCAAAGCATATCACTTATAGTTTGAAAAGGAAATTTTAGAACAGAGCCATATATGTCATTTCACAACATACTACTCTAATTGCATTCTTCTTATAGCTACCTGAAACACCAAAGTACCTGCAGTCAGAAATAATTTCCATTTAAAACAATCTATGGTCTAAGTGCTGAATTCATTTCAACCCCATGGAGGATGAAAAAAAAAATCGTTTGGATTTTGCAGGAGTACCTGAAGCTAAAGAGAAAATTTATCGGTCACTGTGTGTGTATGTATGTGTGAAATATTTACATGAAACACACTAAGCAATACTAATCTGAAATACCGCCGTTCACAACTGACATCCTATGCAAACCGCACGACAAATACACTCTGGCGAAAGGAAACAGCCCACTAAATACCACAGAAACCTTTAGCCGGGGCGAGAAGTCGGGACGGGTTTGCCCGCGGGGGCCCGCAGGAGGCTC